AAAAGAAAAAAAAAGTCATTTGGAGCAGTGTTTGAAAAATTAATATGAATTCTTTCCTTTCAGATTTTGAAATCAGAATGGACACTAACAGGAATCAAGTGCTTTCACTTTCTGATGTGGATGCAACTTCTGTTACAGATATTCAAAGGTTGCTTACATATATTTCATTTGCTGGGCTTTCTGAATTTAAATTCTAATGCTAAAAGACTTCGTATTAAACAGCAGTAGTAAAGCTAAGACTTGGTATTTGTATGGAGCCTGCAGCGCAGCAAGAGATTCTCATCCATCAGTGTACTCCTTAGATGTAAACGTGGGCATTATGGTTGAATACAACGGACTACAGTTGGGTCATTTAAAAGTGAAATAAACATTTTTTTAAAATTAGGTTTTGAAGCTACAGTTCAATAAAACAATGTAATTGAAACTATCAGTTCAGTGTAAACTTTGGACAAGATACTATAATAGTGATCATAACGAATAAAGACGAGGCTTCTACAAAAATCAAAAGCTCAATAACTATTTTGCTCTACCACCAAGACTTTTCCAGAGGGAGAGAAACCGTAGTTAGTTTTTTAAATTAAACTCTGTTTGTATGGATCGGAGCCCATTGAAGCTAATCATAAGTTGTTTCCTTGGCTCACACATTACAAATAGAGTGTCTCTGGGTAGAAATATGATGCTATACCATGAGAGAACATTCTGCCTCTTCAGTAGATGCATAAGATCATGCCATCATTGCACACAGCCATGGGCCAGTTAGCCTTTATGGAAAGGCTCTGCTGCATGGATCCTGACCCCAAGGAATTTATATCTCCTGTTACTCCACTAGACACACACACACAAACACACATAAATATGATAGAAAGATACAGAAAAAAATCTGTAGGCATCCAAACTCTTATCTGCCCATCCCTCTTCATTCACACAGTTCTGTGACTTTCACCTCTTTCTGAATGCATCTAGCTTATTTCTTGGCCATCTTTTCAACTGCTGTCTTTCCTATCAATGTTACCCATCTCCCCTCAGAAAAGGCTTTCTCTCTGACCCTATTCAACGATCATTTTTCTTTTTCAGGTACTCCACTATTCTGACATAATAAAATAATGTAGTTGTTCTCAGTATAAAGTCATGAAATGTGAAGAATCTGAGCATTCCTTTAAAAATATAAAATTTATCTTAGCCAGAGTATAAAAGGCAGTAAGGGTATAAATGTCTGTTTTTTTTCTTTTTTTCTCCTAGTAAACTTAGTATATCCAAAGTGCCAGAAACAATGAAAACACAAATTATGCCTTCCACATTTTTGCTATATTTATAGGTTTTATCTTTTTAACAGTCTTGTCTTGCCTTTCTCTTGGTGTTTTCTTCCTTCTACATAAACTCCTGGTTCTGTGTTTTAAATGGTACTTTTTCTGTGAGATAATATATGCAAGAAGAGCATTCACTGTTTGGTATTATTTATATCATTACTTCTACTGGTAGAATAAATAATTACACTCAAATCAGAAATCAGCACTACACATAAACCCTTAAAATTCGTGCTCTCATATCTGAAAATCTTCCTCTTCAAAAATGTAGCCATCCTTAAAGGGAACTGAGAGGTAACTGTGTACAGTGTTGTCTATTTTGGGTTTATAAAGTAGCCTAGTATAGTGGAATATCTGCAGAGGCTGAGTAGAAGAAGTGAGGGACTAAGACAGTTAGGAAAATTGAGGACTGTGATCAGTGGAGAGCTCAACTTGGAAACCTCCAGATAACAGGGATGCAGTGAGACTGTCAATGGTAATATCAATAACTGTTCTTGTTTTGTTAATTTTTGTTTTCAGAGTAGCTGTGCTATGTGTTCCTAAATCTGCTTATTGTTTGAGTTCAAGCCATCCCAGAGGATTCCTTGCTATGAAAATGCGGCATTTGAATGCAATGGGTTTTCGTGTGATCTTGGTAAGAAAAAATACAAATGAAATATTCTTTATTACTGGTGTACATTCTACCAGCTCCCAGGAATCTTGTGTTTGAGACTGGTTACTAGGCCTGGAGGAATTGTCAGCATTACTGGAATAAGTGCTCTGGTTACTGTTTTCTTTGAAAAAGAACATTGCTCGTACACAATTTGGGTTCTGCCCAGCTGATTACTGCCACTTACTAGAGCTTTTACAAATGTCATTTAGGTCCACTTTAATCGTTTTCTGCTAAGAGGAAGAATACAAATAATATATTTTCGTATTTAAGACGCACGAAACCATGTTTAATTTCCAGATTATCTTGAATGAGGAGAGGAAATATGTTAAAGCTTTGTTTTCATGGCCTGTGTGAAGCTGTTATAGGATGTTTGTTGCCAAAAAGGCTGAATGGTTTTAAAAGGATGGGTCTTCCTCTTTTCTCTCGTGCTTCAATTTGATTTTGTGCACCACAGCGTCTCTTGAACAGCCTCTTCCGATGTTTCTGGGTAGCAGAAACCCTACAAATACGTTTATATATATTTTGCTGTGGGGTCTATCTGGATGCCACTCATTTGGTCCTGCATATAATGTGAGATGTAAACATTCCAAATCTTCTGTTATTATGCTTTAGTATCTAGAAATGGATTACATGTGGACTATTGAGATTAAGATGACCCCTTTTTCTTAGTGGGCTACTATTTAAGACTTTGTTTTTTATATTAATGATTATATATATTCTAAGGAAGGTTTTTCTCAAGAAAGTACTTTTTGCACCATTTAGAGGACCTTTAAAATTTTTATAATTTTCACAGAGCTTTCTTCAACCCTAACATGTAGTGCTATGTCTTTAAAATGTAAGTAGTTATAAGGTAACATTTGCTTTCAAAAAGCTGTTGTCCTCATGTTATTTTATTATGTTTGGATCTCTAAACTAGCACTTATGTTATCATCGTCTCACAAACTGATTATTTTCCTCTTTCTTTGGTAAGGTCAATAACTGGGAGATGGACAGACTAGAGATGGAAGATGCAGTCGCATTTTTGAAGACCAAAATCTATTCAGTAGAAGCTCTTCCTGCTGCTGCTGTAAATTTGCAAAGCACATAATAAAATGAAAATCAACCTTTTTGTATTAGAAGACATGCATTTGTAAAAATTAATAAAGACCACTATCCAGTTGTCAATGGAATTAACCTATCTGTTCGCTAAGACAAAAAAATGTTAGTGCACTATTTAATGTTAAGAATGGAAGAAATGTTACTGCCATTTTAAAATATGCTGAGAAAATTCCAGAAGGATTATTTTTCCAACCACACCTATTCCCTCTAGTGCCCAGATGGTTGAGAAATTTGTGAGCTGTGCATTTCACCTTTTCATCTTTGATGTATTAAAAACTGGTTTCTCAGTTGTTAGGGGTCACAGGCAGGTTGATGTGGGTAGTCCTTGTGTTTGGAATCTGAATATTTATACTGCTATAAGCTATTCTAAGATTTGGGGTTATGCCTTCAAATCATTTTCAAGCATTGGCTAGATAATAATTGGACCAGGTTCTAACATTGTCAAGTGTGTAAGAATTAGTGAGGTGGCCTGTTGAAAATGGGTGAGGATGGCATTTGCATTTGTAATAAGCACTGCAGGTGTAGATGTTTCATGGGTTATAAGAGAGTCACAGATGAGGTAATATGTAGATGGCAAGGAGTCCAAAATTTTTAACACCGACAGGCCATGAGTTGCTAATACCCTAAAGTCTTGCTGTTTTTGGGTCCTTCTTTTCTCTTCCTTTTTTCCCCCTCACCCCTCCCACAATTCATGAAGTCTTTTAAATTAAATGTATAGCTGAATTGTGAATCAGATCTGAGGACTATTTTTTCAATGATTTTTGTTCATTCTTTGTTCAAATATTTGTCCAAGTTCAACTATTTTGTTCAGTATACCTGTCTACATGGTATTTGACTTGCTGGGGCTATAGTGATGAATAGGCATGGTCTCTTGTGGAACTTATAGCAGGGGTTCCATGCAAGTCAGTGTTATTCTACCCCCAAGTACACAGACTTGCAATTACTATACATCTTAGTATGTGCTGGGTACTCCTAAGTATTCATTTGTGTGCTGTCTTTTCGTGATCTTAACCCTTTGAGGTGTAGCTTCTATTATGATTCTCTCTGGGTCTTCATTTCCTCATCTCTAAAATCAGGATAGGTTATTTGCCCAAGACTACACAGAGTAGGGGAGGGCTAGAGTTTGAATGTGAGCTGACATGGGCTGATAAGAAAATACAAAAACTATAGCAATTTGACAACAGCCGCCAGTTTGTATCAATTTACCCAGCTTGCATTTAGAAGAGGTTAGAGCTGAAAGGAAATTTAATGATTATTTAATGTTCCCCCATTTTATGGATGAGGAAGGTAAGGCTGAAAGAATTTTCCTTTCCCTAAGTCTCAGCTATGCCATTGATTTCCACATCATTTCATCCTTCCCTGCTCTTCAGCTTGTGTCCCAGAAGATCCCTGAAGGTTCAGATTCCAGATTGGACATCCTCTAGGTTTGTGTACTTGGCCAAGTGATTTAGCCTTATAAGCTTCAGAACAAGATGAAAATATTCTGTTATTAAAGAAACTAAGGGTTTTTTTCTTTAAATGTTAAATGTGCATCCATTTCTAGTGACTAATTAGGACTCCTATTCAAAGGATTTGACAAATTTATGAATAATTATAACCACTTTTGGGGTAGTAATTTTCAGTTTGTACTACTTAACCTGGCAGATAAAAAGGCACCCCTCTTTTGCTAGCATTCTAGTGTTAGCATTCTTCATTGCTTTGTGACAGTGAAAGAAAAGTGGGCAAACAGCTGATCAACATGAAAAAAAGTTCAGTCTACTAGTAAAGACATGCGCATTCAAACAGATGAGATAGTTTTGTCTTTCCATCAGCAGTATTTTTTTTTTTCTTTTTTATTTTGAGACGGAGTTTCGCTCTCGTTACCCAGGCTGGAGTGCAATGGCACGATCTCGGTTCACCGCAGCCTCCGCCTCCTGGGTTTAGGCACTTCTCCTGCCTCAGCCTCCTGAGTAGCTGGGATTACAGGCACGCGCCACCATGCCCAGCTGATGTTTTGTATTTTTAGTAGAGACGGGGTTTCACTATGTTGACCAGGATGGTCTCGATCTCTTGACCTTGTGATCCACCCGCCTCGGCCTCCCAAAGTGCTGGGATTACAGGCGTGAGCCATCACGCCCGGCCCTTTTTTTTCTTTTTAAGAATTACAGTGTTGACAATGAGGCAAGCATTTGCATAAGCTGTTGGTAGAATGTAAATTAATGCCTTTCTGGAATGTACTTTGTGGGGTTTTCTTGTCCCATAATTTAAAAAATAGCTTTGTTAAAGTATAATTGACATACAGTAAACTGCATATATTTAAAGTATACAGTTAGGTCAGTTTTGAGACACACACACACACCCCTGTGAAACCACAATCAAGGTAATGAATATATCTATCACCTCTAAAAGGTTCCTGTCTTTGGTTTTTCCTCTGTCTCCTAGAAACCACTGATCTATGGCACACATAGGAATAGCTTTAGGAAAGATATTAAATGCTAATTTTGTGTGAGATACCCCAATATGTTTTTTCAGAATCCTTAATGAGAAGCTTGATCTTGCGCTAGATATAAGTTATAAAATTGTATTCTTTAACTGGCTACATGCAATTCATTTTTGTTATTTTTTTAATCTTAATTTTTAGTTTTTTAAAGATGGGATCCTGCTATGTTACCCAGGCTGGCCTCAAACTCCTGGGCTCAAGGGATCCTCCTGCCTCAGCTCCCCAAGTAGATAGGACTTATTATAGGTGCAAGCCACTGTGCCCACGTCAGTTCTTGATTGAGACATTTTATTCAGTTCTCTGAATTCTCAGTAGTTACCATTGAATAGAAACTTCCTTTATACAAAGTTGATGAAACGGTTTAGAACTTTTAAGAAACATTGAAAAATCAAAAATTTTATATATACATAGCCTAACAACTCTTCTTGTCATTGACAAAATGTGATGGTATTTTTTTGTGATAATACAAATGGACCTCAAATACAATTGAAATTTTCATATCAAGTATTTCCAAATAATAATGACATTCCAATTTATAGAACATTATGCATTGTGAGAGTAGTTATCCTGCAACTGTCTTGGACATCTCTAAGCAAATAGAAGCTTCTGTAAGATAGAGATTTGGGGCATCTACTTGGAAATTGTACCTACAAGGAGCTGGCATTTCTCAAATCAGCTCTGTCTCCTACTCTTTATTTATAGGGCCTGAGAGTGGACCATCAGACTACCCTGTTTGGGCTGCCTTCTAGGGAGACCTAGGTGTGGAGCTTGCTGACCAGGAGGGCTGTGGCTGCCTGGAAGACAGAAGATGGCTATCTCTTAACATACTTGTAACCCATTTGTGCACACAGGTATGCTGTGACTCACTCTGGGTCCAAAAAAAGCTGAGTCTCTTAGCTTGAATTCCAAATGTGACTTGATTTCCTCCTTGCAGATGTACCTACTTGAAATTGGGAAGGCCAAATGAGATGGAGATAATGTTTCTGCCAACAAACAGCCAACAGAACTTGGATTTTTCTAGAATAGCAACAGCAGAGGCCCCCAGGTGTGGTGGCAGGACAAGGAGCGTCGTTTTGCTGGTGGGGGTTGTAGTTAAGGTAATGTGACTTTGGAGCTAGCAACTAGGCAGCATCTTCTGACTTCCCAGCTTCCAGGCTGTAAGCAGAGATAGTAGCGTCTCTTCTGGACAGCCAGTTCTGTGATGGTGTCCTGAGAGTCATTCCTGGAAGTCTGACTAAAGGCTGCTCCTTCTGCCCTTCCATTCATCTTGTAAGCAGGAGGCTTCTGTGCATGACCATAAACTAACAGAAGCACATTGTGTCTAAGCTAGGTTACAGTGGTTTCTGTTATCAGCAAGTAAATCCTGACACTACAATATATGCACATATATACGTTATAGAGCAAAAAAAAAAATAAATAAATAAATAAATAAATGGATACTTTTCTTTAAAAGTTTGTAAATTTTGCTTTTTAAGAATTTCCCTTAGGTCTGGTCACAGTGGCTCACACCTATAATCTCAGCACTTTGAGAGGCCGAGGCAGGAGGATTGCTTGAGCCCAGGAGTTCGAGGCCAGTCTGGCAACATGGCAAAACCTCACCTCTAGAAAAAATACAAAAATTAGTTGGGTGGGGTGGCATGCACCTGTGGTCCCAACTACTCAGAAAGCTGGGGTGGGGAGGTTGCTTGAGCCCAGGAGGTCAAAGCTGCAGTGGGCCAAGATTATGCCACCGCACTCCAACCTGAGCAACAGAGTGACACCCTGTCTCAAAAAAGAAAAAGAAAGAAAATTTGAAAAGAATTTCACTCAGTGTTACAGACATATAATGTTACTAAGACCCACTAGGATCACTTGTGTATACTGCTGGCTGGTTTTACATGTGACCTCACCCTGAGCAGGTTTCTCTAGGCAGCAATAAAGCTTCCCAGGCAGAGGAAGGGAGAAGCCAACCCACCTGCCTTTATTTTCTACTTGTTCTCCTTGCACCCAGTTTTTACCACACTTCCCCATGCTTTTACTGCAACTCTTCCAGGCTCCTCTCAGGCAATCTCTTTACACCAGGGGCCTTATAATCCTGAAGAAGATAGCATCAAACTTTCACCCAATTATTTCAGGCAATACTTTCCTTTCCCTCCCTCCCTGCCTCCCTCCCTCCCTCCCTCCCTCTCTCCCTTCCTTCCTTCCTTTTTGCTTAAAAAAAATGCATACTAGAAGAAATACACGAAATGTATTAAATATATAAATAGAGTTTTCATCTTGTCATTACTTTTAAGTTAAATTAGAACCAAAGCTATTCTATTTGAGAACCTTTGAAGTGTTCAGATGTTGCTTATACTCATCAGAAAAATACTCCTTCTATGAATAAAATCTTTTTTTTTGTTTGTTTTGAAACGGAGTCTCGCTCTGTTGCCCAGTCTGGAGTACAGTGGGGCAATCTCGGCTCACTGCAGCATTCAAGCAATTCTCCTGTCTCAGCCTCCCGAATAGCTGGGATTATAGATGCACGCCACCACACCCAGCTAATTTTTTGTATTTTTAGTAGAGATGGGGTTTCACTGTGCTCCTCAGGCAGGTCTCGAACTCCTGAGCTCAGGCAATCCACCTGCCTCAGCCTCCCAAAGTGCTAGAATTACAGACGTGAGCCACCATGCCCAGCCTTTGTCCTGAAGAAAGCCTAGTGTTGAAGAAAATCAATTAAAGGTTAATGAAACAGAGGGGCAAAGCCCCGTTCACCAGCTTGAGTTCAGATGACGTTCCCCACATGGCCACTGCTGTTCTAGTGCAGGCTGTTGTAATGGGGGTTCCACATCATCTAGTCCACAAGCCAAGCCTCGGATGCACCTGCTCTTTACCCAGCTACCCCAGGGCAGAGCTCTGCACAGACCACAATGCTTTAAGAGAGGATGATAACACCCCTCAGTACTTCCTTAGAGTACTCTATAAGCCGCATTTTTCAAAGCACCCCCCAGGCCGGGGTTAAGGCAGAACAGGTTTTCCAGTCATAGCGTCCTATTTAGCTCAGTAACATTTCTTGAGTGATCTTGTAAATGAATAACTTGAAAGAAAAACAGGCAACCAAGGCAGTGCGGTTACATTTTTTGAGAATGCAGATGCAAAAATACTTGGGAATTTACTCGCTCATTTTTCCAAAGGACGTACTCTGTACACTTCCTCAGCAGTATGTCACTCACATGGGGCTCTTTGTAGCAATACAAACCAAACAAGATATTTCTGAAACTCAAAGTTAACTGATTTTGATATCAACGTGATTTTCTTAAATTTTTTAAAAAATTGTGACAAAAAATACAACATAATCTTTATCATCTTAACCATTTTTAAGTGTACAGTTCAGTGGCAGTGAGTATATTTCACATTGTTGTGTGACAATCACTACCATCCATCTCCAGAATCTTTTCAACTTGCAAAACGGAAACACCGTACACATTAAACAAGAACTCCTATTTCCCCTTTCTCCCGGTGCCTGGCCACCACCATTTACTTTCTGACTCTATGAATTTTACTACTCCAGACACCTTACAGAGTGGAATTGCTCAGTATTATCCTTTACTGACTGGCTTCTTTCACTTAGCATAATGTTTTCTGGTTCATCCGTGTCGTGGCATATGTCAATATTTCCTTTGCCCAGGCACTTTGGGAGGCCAAGATGGAAGGATGACTTGAGGTGGGGAGATGAAGACCAGCCTGGATGGCATCGTAAGACCTCCATCTCTACAAGAAAATTAAAAAGACATGAGCCCAGGAGAATGAGGCTGCAGTGAGCTACCATCATGCCACTGCACTCCAGCCTGGGGACAAAGTGATACCCTGTCTCAAAGAAAAAAATATTTCCTTCCTTTTAATGTTGGAATTATATTCTATTGTTTATCTGCTGATGGACTTTTGGGTTGTTTCCACCTTTTCTATCTGTGTGTGTGTGTGTGTGTGTGTGTATTTCTAGACACTTGTTATTCTCCTGAGTGTTAAAGTGTTTTAAGTGTTTGGTTTTTCATTTGTAGAAAATTTTCTTATCCTAAAGTTTATCTACAGCTATTGCTCGACTTACAACCACTGTCGGGACCGCGGACCGGTCGTAACACGATTTGGTCATAAGTTGA